ATTCAGGTTACGTAGTTTGGAGATAGTTTCACGGTATGATTGGTTTATGGTAGTGGATTGGTGAGAGAACATGCTTAAAAAGTTATACATGGAATAACAAAGATAAACGTTTAGACTTACACAACCTCGATTAATCGCCGTGATGAATTCAAATTCGATGACGAGGAACCCACTTTGAGACTAATAATGGCTGGAGACGGCTTAAATGGGTAATGAAGAAAAATTTTAATATAAGTTTAACATAACAGCAAATGTACAACGTTTCGACAAGGTTTTGTCATCATCAGGTACAAATTTAGGAATTAGCTTTTCAGAGCAGCACTGTCTTAGGAAGGAAATATCGTTTCTCTTTTTGATGATTTTTATATTCAGGTTACGTAGTTTGGAGATAGTTTCACGGTATGATTGGTTTATGATAGTGGATTGATGAGAGAACATACTTAAAAGGTTATACATGGAATAACAAAGATAAACGTTTAGACTTACACAACCTCGATTAATCGCCGTGATGAATTCAAATTCGATGACGAGGAACCCACTTTGAGACTAATAATGGCTGGAGACGGCTTAAATGGGTAATGAAGAAAAACTTTAATATAAGTTTAACATAACAGCAAATGTATAACGTTTCGACAAGGTTTTGTCATCATCAGGTACCATTATTCGTCTCAAAGTGGGTTCCTTGTCATCGAATTTGAATTCATCACGGCGATTAATCGAGGTTGTGTAAGTCTAAACGTTTATCTTTGTTATTCCATGTATAACCTTTTAAGTATGTTCTCTCACCAATCCACTACCATAAACCAATCATACCATGAAACTATCTTCGAACTACGTAACCTGAATATAAAAATCATCAAAAAGAGAAACGATATTTCCTTCCTAAGACAGTGCCGCTCTGAAAAGCTAATTCCTAAATTTGTGAAGGTCAAGTTATCGAAAAACTTAAACCAGTTTTCAGGCATTATCCAAAACATGCAGAAAAAACTCCTAAAAGCAACCCTGAATTCCAAATATCAAGAACTGGACTATTTACAAAAATTCAAACAGAAATTATACCACCAACTAGCCTGCTACCTCAAACCAGATGATTACGGCAATATACAACGTGCTATCAACCAAGACAACTCATTGTTGAATCAAGAAAAGAAGTCTACACACAATAAGAAGGTACCTGATGATGACAAAACCTTGTCGAAACGTTGTACATTTGCTGTTATGTTAAACTTATATTAAAGTTTTCTTCATTACCCATTTAAGCCATCTCCAGCCATTATTACAATCAAAGGTACTGTGATGTCATGCATTAGCCTATGAATAACACAATTAGAAGCACTGTGATTACATACATTAGCCCAGTTTGTTCAAAGAATTACTTAACTCTTTCTATATGGGGTCGGTCAATGTGACTGACAATGTAACCACAAAGTAACAATCAGTTTCTATACTATAACTTTTAATGTGTTTTGCATATCTTCACAAAATTTGACAAGCTTTCAATAACCATTGCAAGTCTTTGATACACAAAAAATCATATTCATTAATTAAGTATTTTTACCTGTGTATATATGGAATCAGTGTTGACTGGTACAAGCACAAAGTGATTTCATGTTAAGATTAAAAGTACTTCTTCTCAAAATCCTCAAATTTCATTTGCATAACCTCTAAAACCCCCTAAATATCAAACTTCTTTTTTTCAGTAACACTTTATATTTTATCTGTTATTTTCTCTACCCTAACTATATGAACTTGGTCGATTTGATTGACCATTTAACCACCATAGAAGAATACAAAATAAATCTAAATTACTATTTTTCTTTCTAAAATGACTGCATATTGTAACAGAAAACTACAGTGGTTTATTCTAAGTAGCTTAAGGCTTGTTACAGTCTACATCTATTTATACTTTATTTTATTTTATTACCCTTTGAAACACATCTAATTAATAATCCCACTACACAAGTTTTAAATCACTCAGTAAATGCATAGCTCGCATTACTGTATCAAATGTAAGCTGATTTATAAGCGTACTTTGTGAAGAATTTTTATTATAATTATTATTTTTCCTGATAAGTTATAATTTTTACATTTTAATTATTCTTATATCTGTAAATAAAGAATATACAGTAGAAACTGTATATTTTTTTTCTGTCAGTTGAAATTTAAAGTTACTTTTTTTACAATGATGGTTCTAGTACAATAAATATCTTTTATTTACTTAAATAATGCACCTAAGAACACAGAATAATAACATGCACAAAACAAACAATGTCCTATAACTATTATAGTTTAATTGGTTTTCTAACCAGAACAAGAGGGGCTTAAATTAATTCCCTTTTCTGCACAAATTGAACACCTCAAGATAAGCTTTCAAACTGAAAATAAAATTGGCAGTACTCTATACTGGAAATAGTGTAGCATTATACATCATTCAATAGATCAAAACTTTGCCTTTATAATGGTTATAAACCATATATATATATATATATATTATAAAAGTTCAGAAAAAAAATTCTTAGCAGTTTGTGAAAGAGATTTGATGGGTGGGTGTGGCAAGTGGGTCTGATTTTCTAGTTTATGACTCCATAAACAAATAATATTGAGGGCTATAAAAATTAGACTTTGCCTCAATAATATCTATATTATAATGAGTAATTTACATTAAATTCCGTACTTTAGAGAGAAATGGTAAATAAACTTGAGAAGGGGAAGACCTAAAGAAAAAATGTAATGATTCTCATGCTAGGGGAGATCGACTAAGAACTTAAACTTGTATAATATTAAAATTTGCTTTGTTAATAGAATCTTGATGCCAAATTTATTCATATACATTCATATAATGTAGTCTAGTTAACTTTTGAATGTAACTCTGTAAAAAATCATGACCTACCCTTAGCAAGAGTGTTAAATAAAATGTTACTTTGTACTAAAACTAATGTAAATTGATAGTGATTATTTTATTTTATCTTATTCTGATTCATACAACTTAACTTATTTTATAAACTATGGACAGTTGTTTCATATCTTTAAGCTTACACCATAGTCCAGGAGCCAAGACCAATTTAATCATGTGCCTTAGGTCAAAAGGTTTGAATATGTATTCTGACTCATAAAATGGTGTAGAATAAGAAAATCCATTTCTTGGTGGCAGCAGTGGGTGAAGCATGTTATGGTTTATGCCAAGGTAAAAAAAAAATGTCAAAAAATTGGGATTTGGACCCAAGAAACCATTATGAATTGGTGTATGATACTTCTTTTGGCCTTACTTTGATGAAAATAGATGGTGTAATCAGTAAATAATAAAATATGGCATTTTGGTTGGATAACCCAGTCTAAAAATGAAAAATATCCAGCTACATCTCTAGGCTTTGAAAAAGCATTAAATCTCTTCTCATTAAAAGTATAACAGAGGCCTTTATACAGTCCCCTGTTAATTTGTTGCCAACCTTATGTTGGCTTTTAGGACAAGGCCTGGCTTTATGAAGCTATCAACAACAGCACAGTAGTACAAACACAAATACCTGAGTTAGTGTGTGACGACTTTGAAGCTGACACATGGCTTGTGTGGCACTCAAAAAATTGCAGTGTTGTTTGCTGTGATGATGTTGACATCATAGTGATTATCTTGTGTCAAAGTTTTCTCTGAAATACTAGGCAGTACATCAATGTGTTTGCAGTAGCTTGTCATATAGGTCCTAAAATGTGTGCTGCATTAACAGGTCTTCATACCTTCACAGAATCAGACTACACTGCAGCCTTTTTTAAGAAAGGAAAGGTGCAACTGTTAGTCTTCACCTCAGCATTTTGCAAACTAGGTGAATCACAAATCCTTGATGCAGAGATTCAGCAGGACATTGAGTCATTTGTTTGCCATATGTATGGCAAACAAACTCATATCTGTAGATTCAACCCATTACCACATATTCCTTGACCATTTTGCACCAAAACAATCTTCCAAGCCCTTTGAAAATACGAGGGGATGTGACCCAGTCATGTTTCCACCATTAAAACCTGTGCTTGAACAGAAAATTAAAAGAGCGAACTTTGTCGCTAACATATATAAACAGGCAACCTCATACCATGGAATCCTCAGCATCATGAATGGAGACTCCAGGATGACAATTTTTCCTAACCTGGTTTACAGGAAAGCAGGTACCAGCATAGATAGTGATATGACTGGCAAACAATATGTGGAAAGTACAGTTTATAATTCTTCTTCTGATGAGTCTGACAGTGATGAAGATTGATATACCATGCATCATATTAAGTAAAACAGAGTTTATCAACCAATTCTTTGTAGATTGAAAATGTTTAATGTAAATTTCTATTGTATACTGGTTCATTGATATTTTGACTTGAATCAGCAACTGGTAGTTTCAGGCTTTGAATATGCGTATATGGTTGTAAACACTGTATAGACAATATTTGTAAAATGTATGATAATCCATTGATACATGTATTTGACGTATACCTCTACAATTCACAATTAGTAAATTGTCATTGATGCCAATAATGTGTGTAACCATCATAGATATTTCAGTGATCAAAGTAATGCATTTTACTGTAAGTTTGCTGCATGCCTCTCCATCATAGTGCATGTTATGTAATTGTTGTAATACAGTAAATTTGATTAATTACTTAATATGCTGTTTGTATTTTTTTGTTTTTTTTTATGAAATAAGATAAATTAACATTTTGTGCAGCTTTTGCTGTACAAACTTACAAGACCTCTATCGGATGACTTTTGATGTAAAAATGGCCAATTTTTGTCTTGGTGAAATTTAACATTTTTGGACTCCACAGAAGCAACATCATGATGCATAACAGTTATGATTTTTTACAAAATATGTTTAGCCAAAATTGCATATAGACAGCTATTAAACCCATTTTTAAATCTTTCAGATGAAATTTTTATAAAATTTAATGGAATACTGCAGTATTTTTGGATATTTTTCATTTTTAGACTGGGTTATCCAACCAAAATGCCATATGTTATTATTTCCTGATTACACCATCTATTTTCATCAAAGTAAGGCCAAAAGGAGTATCATACACCAACTCATAATGGTTTCTTGGGTCCAAATCCCAATTTTTTGACATTTTTTTTTTTACCTTGGCATAAACCATAACATATTTCACCTACTGGTGCCACCAAGAAATTGATTTTCTTATTCTACACCATTTTATGAGTCAGAATACATATTCAAACCTTTTGACCTCGGACACATGTTTAAATTGGTCTATCTTAGCAAAGTCTAATTTAACACTTCATTAGTTTCAAATTATGAATAAAATAAATAAGCAGGGAACAAGTAAGATGGATTTATTTCCTTTAGATAACACATAAACTCAAACCATGGTATAATTGGAGGGTATATGACAAAAAAGAGGCTTCTAACATAAGATATAAAGAAGAAGCTCTAGAGCAAATAGATTGTAAGAAAAAATCTAGGCTTTCACTCAATATATTTATAACTTTGCTACCTTTAGAAGTTATAAAACAGCTAGTGTTAAAAGTTTTCACTTTTCTTTTAAATAATTTATGCAACTCGGATATTAATAAAATTAAAATAAAATTGTGAACCTGAACATTTCAGTAATAGTTTTATTTTGTAGATGTTTCTAAGGGGGAGTCAGATTTTTTAAAAATCAATGTTGTCATGTGTCTACATTAAAAACACAAAATACTGAACTGTAAAGGGTTAATCAGTGCTTCATGTCTAAATGTAAGTTCTTACAAGTCATTTCTATATACAGAAAAGAAAATGACAAATAATCCTCCATCACTTTTGTAATTATCTTTTGTGAATCTTCATATATTTTGTCATCTAAAGAAGTTTAAAATAGTATATTCATTTGTTCTGTAAATTATCTCTCTTTTTCTTAAAAATCTTTATTCAGTCACTGCCACTTTTTTTTATAAACAATTTTGTTGACTAACAATAAATTGTGATCCATCTATGACTTCAGTGAGCTTTCCACCATTATAATTGATTATGATCAAACTAGATGTCAAGACATTGCAGCTGGATACATCACAAGTTAAATAACATACAACTGGCAGCTTGAGTATAGTGTAAGTAGGAGATAAGACACTATAGTCAGAGACACCACTCCCTGCCAATTATTTTCAACCATATAAATGTTCTGATTAATATTTATGTTCTTTGTTCCAGTATAAATTAACTAGATAATATTTTTAGAAACCTCACTGTTCTGCCTTTAATCTCTATGACTTCTCTTTTGTGTCCAGAAACAAAACTATGGCCCTTTATAGTTAAGAAAACCTACTTAAAGTCTGGTTCATTTATAAGAAACATATTCGTTTTATTCAAATATCTTGATATTATAACATTTCTGTGAAAATGCAGAGGTAGTCTAAAAGGTATAGTGTATACTTTTCTTAAGATTGCATTAAAAAAGTACAACTGCAACTGTTCCTATATTATAACCTTGAGCTATAACTCTTGGTTTGTGACTCAGATCTTTTCCCCTCCCTTCTGTATCAAAGGGCTCGAAAATCATACCAAAAACCTTCCAAATTATTATTTGTGCAATAGAGAAAATTAATATTTCAAAGTATGAATAACTGCCAGTTCAATATTATGAATATACCAATGTACTGCATTATACACACGTATTTCACAGCAAGAAATGGGTATCATTAATAGCCTACTGCATCACAAAGTATTAAAATATGATGATAATATGTTGGTGTTCTAAAATTGATTCTTTTATTAAAGCTTTAAATAATTCATTTTAAGTTTTCTTTTAATATAGAAATTTTAAGGAATTTATTTGGTACAAAGCAGTAGAAAAAAATACTTGTTTATGAGACAACAAACCTGAGGATGTAAAGCAATTTAGTTGGCAAAGCATTCCATTTTCAGTAATGATATGTTGGTGATATAACACCACAATAAATCAAATTGCTTTAAATAAAAAAAAAAACTTTTCAAATAGCATTTCAACTACACTTTGTTGTTTGCCACTACTTTTCATTCAACACTAAATTACATCATACAAGTTCATAATTGAAAAATACAGGTATCTGTCATTTGTCTTGAAGCTGTAAAATGTGCAAACTGATCTTTTGAATTGTATTTTGACTTGACTAATTCAGGCTTTGTAGTTTTGATTTCTTCAGAATCTGTGTACTTTAATGTGAATTAAATTTGAGAACATTAATATTTTTTGTTTATCAAAAAAAAGAAATGAAAATCAAAACCTGGAATTATTGCTATTTTCATTTTTCTTCCTTATTATCCACTGCTGACTTTGTGGTTTGGAGGAAAGACAAATTTTTTCCTTATACTTCAAAATTCACATGAAGTATTTAGTTCCAGACACTATATTCATTTTTATATTATACATGCACGCTTTTACTATGTTTTTTGTCACTTTTAAAATTTCCCAGTGTAAATACTTTCAAATTTCTGAAATATGACAGTTAATGAACTTTTTTATTTTAGTACTTCTAATGCACATTAGCAACTTTCAATTGGATAGTTCTGCCATTAAAACATATTTAAGGGAGTGTTTTAAGTAATTCTTTGTAAATACTTCTGTGCCACAATATTATATCATGGAATTCTTTGTAAGAATCATTGAAAGTGAACTCATTTTTAACTTATTTCTTTATCAGACCTATAATCTTCAGTGTAAAAATTGAACCAGACTTAGAAGCTGATTTTGTACTGGCCACTCTTGCTGATCATAATAAGGGACAGTTATCATCATCTGGTTCTTCATCTCCTCAGAGAAACATCAATAAGCCCACTAGTGTTGTTGTTAGTAGGCCAAGGTAGGAATTGTTCATTTTGAAAATAGTTCCCTAATATTGTTTCTAACATATTAGGATAATTTTCAGTACTCATTACAGAAGTATTAGTATCACTGTATTTTTAGAATTTTTGAGATCTATGGACATCTTAATCATTTTTGAAAGCATACCACAAACTGTTTTATGGATTCGTATGGTTATTTATTTCCATGTAGCCCCCTCTATATTAGGATATATGTTATAGTTCTCAACACAGTCGTTCACTTTATTTCTTTAAAAGAGTCCAGATAAGTAGCCTGTAGGCTCTAGAAGGAAATATTGTAAAGGTTGATCAAATTATACATTTCTGTATTAAGGCACAACACGGTAACATGATAGTTTATTGTCCCTTCTACTATACATATAACAACCCTATTGATTTGGAGGTTAAATGCGGAAAGGTCAAAGTCACCATTTAAAAAACAAATTTTCATTTGGTTTCTTTGCAGAAGAATATATAACTACAAAAAGTTAATGGGCCTATTTTACTGATGACTTTTATTACTACTCACTTTACAATAAATATAGTAGCACATAGCTAGGATAAAAAATGTGCGAACTGTAACTTAGAGTTACTTTTCACTGAATTATTGTTCTCTTCACTATTAAATCATACATAAATTTGAAATTTTATTAGAATAAAAAGAATCATTTAATCACCAAAATCAATGAGAAGTAAGGATATTTTTTAAACCCAAGAGCTTGCAAGGATTCAATGAAAGGTATGACTACCTAACAAAAATTAAATTGAGGCCAATGTGCTGAACTTAATATTTCATGTCAAATACTCATTGTACTTTTAATTGATATTAAATTGTCTATCATGTTATGTATGTTATAAACTGACAAAGTTGCATTACAGAGAAAGAGATGCAAAGATTACCATTTCAAATCAATATACTTAATTGACATTACTTTTATAGTGTAATCAATATTTTACAGATAGTTTTACATCTTCTCTAGAATTATAACATTGTTTTAATTGTGGACAAAATTTAGCTTAGAAATTACTTTAATTATATATTATTCAAGAGAATATTTAGACCTGCTTTACTAATCTTTGTTAACTGTTTGTGCATATATCATCCTTTGTTTATTAGAAAATCACTGAACAATAAGCATGCACAAGAAGTTGTGTCAAAGCAAGCACTACACTTACCACTTACAAGTACTTCACCTTCAATGGAACATAAAGAAATGGAGGAATATGTAGTTCCTGGAACACCACCAAGCAAAAGAGTAGGTTCAATATTTATACATAATGAACTTTAAATTGCAGCTTCACTGAACAAATACTAGTGTCAAAGTTAAATCTTCACAGAATTGTACATCATAAGTTTTTACAAAGCTCTCTCCCACTCACATTGTGGGACATGATAAAGCAGAAAAAAAAAGAGCATTATGATATCAACTTTTGTTTGAATATTTTAATGAGGCTATCTGTTATAAACAAGTAAAACTTTACTGTGGCTAAAGTTTTGGGGATTGTTTTTTGTACTAGAGTAAATTCTTCTTGATTAATCATTTCAATTTATAAATAATTGATATAAGAAAATTTGTTACAAGGTACTTCATCAGCAACGATGAACACATCTTTGCATAGAACTTGTAAATGGAGTTTTTCAGTAACATGTTTAAAATCCTAATTTCTTTCAAATGTTTGTTGTCTTCCAGTTTTGCTCTATGTTTTTGGGACTGTCACAACCGAGCCAGTTCACTTCCATGGCTCCCGATCCTGATGAAGTTTTAGCAGAGGCTACAGATGAAGAAGAGAGTTGATAACTGTGGAATGGAGGTTATTTTGCAAATAGATGTTGTTTATAATTTTATTTCTTTAATAAATTAGCCATACATTGTAATATTTGAATAATTTATGTATTTGTTATGCAGAAAAATAAATAAAGGTAACATGTAATGACCTAAGAATTTATTAATCTAGTGGAAAAGTAATATATACTTCTCCTGTGAACAAACTGCTTCAATTCCAAAGAAAAAAGTATTAAATACACAACCATTTCTACAGTACACTCTTTCTACTGCTTTCCCTCTAGATTACATGGGTAGTTGAGAAGACCTAGCTTCATATTTGAAAACCCTCAAATGTTCCACAGACTCATTGTATCAAATTAATTATTCTCAGCATAGGAAGTCACTCATTTCAACATTTAATATAATATTTAGTTAGCAAACAAGTCCACTCTAGAACTGAAAACATTTTTTCACATATTGATTAAGGGTGAATTTGAACAAAAGATATATACTGAAGTTTGCCCCTGAAGAAGAAAGGTCCACCTTTTGAAAGCACTCAGGTTATAGGGTTTTTATTCAGTTCTACTGAAGTGAAACCATTTTATTAAATGCAAAATGTGAAATAAATGTATTTATAAGCTAAAAGTTGCATCTTACCCTTGCATAAATAAAACCATTTTATTTGTATAATGTTTACTTCTTTCCTGTAACATATATTTATATAATCTACTCTACAAATAATATAATTACATTTTCAGTTCTTAACTTTAACAGATGAAATGAAACTGACAAAACAAGTGCTTTAGACATGAATTTCACATTTCTCTACTAAAATGGGTCCTGTTTTTAACTTTACCATAATAAGTATCTATGTTCTACAACATAGCTAAGAACTTTGGTTACATAAATGGCAAAAGTTATAAATGGCAAGCTTGCTTTTAAATACTGCTATTAAAATTATTACAATTTCTAGCACAGATCATCAAACCTCAATAAAATTTAAATTCTGTATGTTTTTAACAAGCATTAATTCAGTTTATGTAAACTATCATAATTGTATGGTAATATTAGGTTACTTTACTTGAAACATAAGCAAACAAGTGTTGGTATTAAAATCATTGCACTTCATCTTCATAGGTCCAGCTTTTAACAAGATGATTCAATTCACTGTGACTGGATGCAACAACGACAGGTTTTAAAATCACTGCAACACCAAAAACACAAGTCTCCATGAACACTTTGTTAGAATGCAAAAGCGTGTGTTGATACAAGTAAATTAAACACGTCTAGTCAGCTATGACATTTTAACTATTAAATAAGAATTATAACTGTAGTCCAAGTATGTTAAAAGTTGTGAAAAATAATCAGTATACACTATTCAACCTTCATTATTTAGAATGTTTTGAAATACATTATTTATGAGTATCTGTTATATATTATATTATTAGCTACTGTTTTGTTTTTTTATATTGCATATACTTAATTTAATAGATATTTAAAAAACATTGTTGTAACTTTATATATTACTCAAGTGATTGTTAACTATCACTTCTTATAAGCCTAAGGCCAATATTAAATATTTAATGCAGGTGAAATTGGTTTCAAATGTTTAATAGTGTCCTGAAAGGAGCAATATCATTTGAATTACACATTACTTCATCAAATCTCAGAATTCTAAAATTCTAATTACTGCATTTAACTTTTCAGGTTTATAATGGATAGAAAGAAAAAAAATAATGCTCATTTTAAAAGTTCCAATTAACAAGAAATAAACAGCTACAATTTGAAGACAGACTGATTTTTAACCCTTTGATCTCATAGAATATAAAATACCAATCATTGAAAGAAAACTGTGCCTCATAATGGTATTTGTAGCAGATTGTAGATACACATGAAACTAGAAAAAAAAAAAAGATGGGGGGGGGGATAAAACCTTCTTTGAAAAACAAACAACTTTACAGTAAATCTATGTGAGGTGGAGTAGCATATTTTATGTCTATTAAAGCTTTTTCATCTATTTACCTAGTATATTGAAATTACAAATGCTCAGTTGTTTAGGTAAGAGTATACACTCCAATCCATGTTTAAACATTTCTACAGCAAAAGTTTATTGAATGTAATACGTATATTTAAATAAAGCTATGCTAGATTATCACACTTCTTTTTTTTTAATCCGAGCTGACTATTAATATTATATAATTGCAGTAAAATGTATAACGAATTGAAAGATTTATATTTTAACTGAACATAAGGTTTCAGAAACTGTGTATGTAATGATATAAGTATAACAAATACTCTGAAGTGGTTTATTAACTAGATTACTCCACACGACAATTGGCACTAAAAGATTGGCTGCAGCTAATACTTTTCTTATATTTAAATAACTAACAAAAACCTACTGTAACTTAGACCTTAGAAATATCTGTTTATACAGAAATGGAATACTATCTTTTACTCTTTCTATATGAAAATATCCAATTTTGTATTTTAAAAAATTCTCTTGTTAAAACAAACTTACAACATTAAATTTCACATACAACAAGACTTTGTTCCTCAAAGTTTCATTTATGAATTATCATCAATGGGCCCAATATATTTGAAAAATACAAAACTTTGTAAAATAAAATCTTGTTTTAGTTGAAGTCTAAAGTCATAAACTTTGAACAAACAAAAGTACTTCAGTTTGTACCACAGTAAAAACAACTTAGCAAGAATTCAATATAAAAGTATTGACAAATTATAAATAATGAAACAATACAAAAAAATCCTCTTTGTGGTCTTAGTAATAAAGAGCTATCACATTTAAAACCTAATAATGAAAAAATTTCCAGTACATGATGGACACCCCTAAAATTTCCAATTTCTACTAAAAACATAGAGAGCTAGACCAACTACAAAATTTCTCCAGCAGTGAACAGAACAAATATACAACTAAAAAAGTTGTCATAATGTTTGTTGACTAGTGTAAGTTCCAACCAATTGCAATAACAGTATTTTGTATCTAAAGATTTCATACTTTGAATATAAGCTAACGGTCACATATATCCAATATTTGTTTCTACTACAGCCGAGTGTCTTGAGGTAGTATTGACCTGGTTTCACGAAGTGGGAGAAATTATCGACTCCTACACATTTCCTTCACTACTAGTTTCTACTAATGTCAGTTTTCTTGAACAATAAATTGTTTTACTCAGTTTGCTCTTACATATACTCTACATAGAAAATAGTGTATCTTCAAACTTATTAATTCTTGTACCAGCACAGCTTTCTATCAACCTTCAGTTTATTAATGTCTGGTAAAGTATTCAGGTAATAGTTGGATAGAAAGATGTGTTAATATAAGGATTGATAGATAATAAAATAGAGGCAAGAGCTCAAGATTAAATGTTTATTTCAATAGTGGTAGCATTTTCTTAACATTAGAGTTGCTTCCTCAGCCAACAGCAAACCAATTTCTTAATTCTTGTATTAATTCTAAGAACCCGTGAGTAAAAGTAAAGGAAAATATCTAATATGTCAACCACACTACATCTGCCATATTTAGCACTGACAAGGCTCTTCGCCTAATGCCAGAGTTCATAAGGCTGGCTAGGATATGACAGATAGTGGTGGTCTAGGTGTCATACATCACAGTTTTCATGAATAACGACTGTTAGGGTGTCAATATTATAAAATTGGTTTGCTGTTGACTGAGAAGCAACTCTAACATTGAGAAAGTATTACTATTATTGAAACAAACACTTAATTTTGAGCCCTTATCACCGATTGACCCATATGAATAGTTTACTCTCAATGAAGAAAGGTTTACTTTTTAAAAGTGCTCTTGTGATTATAATTTAATTACTTAATGATTCTATCTGTTTTGTATTAAAGTAACTTGAATATAGATTATACACTTTTTCAGCCTCTCTTGTTATTTAAGTACAAAATCATGTTGAAGTTAAAAGGTTTGCTAATCTCTGAACACTTTCCAATGATCATACTTTTTTTTTTCAGGTTAGTCTAGTCTAGAAATAAAAAACCGCATTAGCCAGAGCCCCGAGCATTCCTTATGTATTTTATATACGTGCATATATCAGAAGACTTTCAATTCCACATAAACACATGGTTTATCACTTGCAAGTTTCTAACAAAAGAATTGGATAATACTGACTTAAAACAAGTGTTATCTTTTCTTGAAAGTATATTAAGAAAAATTCAACAACAGAATATTAAACTTCCTTCTTAATAGGCCATTATTAATAGTAAATCAATGAGGTTACTCAAATGGAATTTTTGGTTTTCTTTCAGGCAAATTACTTCATGAAACACTGTTCCCTTCATTCATTAAGTGTATAGATCACATCTTTCTGCCCTTTAAAAATCAGAAAACTGAAAGAACATAGATAAAGAATCCAAATGCACCATTTTAGTAATTTATTGGGAAATCACAAGAACACTATATAATTTAGCATACCAGTTTCTTCTTCAAGAGATGTGAACCCAAAAATAACCTTCTGTGCTACTAACTGTAGAGTGAAAGCAGTGATTATAAAAGAAAAAATATTTTTAGATGAGAATGGATAGCTACAAGTTGATGCAGTAAATAACTAAATGTCAAAGCCTGTGTATCTCATCTTGTTAGCTCTATGCTGAAAGACCACTCGTACTAAAATATATTGGCTATGAGGTTGTGTATTGCACACTGTCCATACACTAAGGGAACAAAGTATGTTCCCCAAGCTTAAAAGACATAAGCTATGCTATTTGTCATCCATAATCTGTGTAACCTGTGCTGCTTTGGGCTACAACAGTTTGGAGGTCCAAGTTGTTTCTTCCACCTACAGATGCCAGCAGTATGGTGATATCATCAGGTTTACCACCTACAAAGCAAACAATAAAGTATCATATAATGTAATGCTCTTAAAATCAAAATACTCACCCTGTAATAATCTTGCATTTTTCTGCCAAAATAATTTTTTAACTAACTAGTGTGAAGTGTTAATCTAATCAGTAGTATTAATTTTAATATTTTTAGGATCAAGATGAATTTTAAAACAGATACATACATCTGAAATAATGAAAGACTTTCCTTGTATTGCTCTAATGCTGTCAACAACTATGCAATTCAAAGTCCTGAATGTCTTTGTGGCAAGGCAGAACATACATCAACCCAAACATAATTCTCCACTCTTCCACACAACTTATTCCACATGCATTAGATCTTATGTAAGCTTGGAACTCCTACCACATACATCAACTTAAACATAATTCTCCACTCTTCCACACAACTTATTCCACATGCATTAGATCTTATGTAAGCTTGGAACTCCTACCACATACATCAACCTAAACATAATTCTCCACTCTTCCACACAACTTATTCCACATGCATTAGATCTTATGTAAGCTTGGAACTCCTACCATATACATCAACCTAAACATAATCTTCCACACAACTTATTCCACATGCATCAGATCTTATGTAAGCTCTGCACTCCTACCATAATTCAGATTGGCAAGTTACAATTATGATGAAAAACAACATATCCCTTTAGTTGTAGGAAGGCAGACAGAAATGTATTTCAAAAGTATGTAACTGTTTGAAACTCTTTTTAATCACAAAAATGTAAAATTCAAATCAGGGAGATTTACCTCTGAAACACTGAAATATGAATACCCAGACTGAAAATGAGTTGAGAACCACAGAGATTAAGATTATTAGAAAATATAGGTTACAAGGCAGGGATGTAATAACTTAGATTTCAATGAAGGTATATTCAAGCAAAGTCCAACTAAAATCCAGAACCCCAAAAATTTGAAAAACTGGATTCAAGTGAGAATGGGTGGTATGGACAAAACTTGTATAACGACCTATGAACAAAGAGATGGAAAACATTCTTCTCTGCATGGTTTCTCCTAACCCTAGACACCCTTCAGCTTATACAAGAAAGGTCAGTTAGAATGGTAATGTGTTTACTTTTGGAGTCACCAACCGGAACACGGGTGGTGGGGAAACAAGTAGGAGAAATACTATGTCCTGCTTCTGTAATGGAGGGTACTTAGGAGAGCAGCATAGTCAAATATTATGAGTGGACGTACTTCTGGGGCTTTAACCCTCTCAATATACATATCTCAAAAGGACAATAAGTCACAAAACCGGCCAAATCAGTGGGCACTTAGGAGACCAAGCTATCCCAAGAATGGTGTTCTGCAATTTGACAACAGTGCAATGAGAACATCAAGATAGTAAAAAATAAAAGGGGTGGATATTTTCTGAATCTGTAGAAAATGAACACTGTTGTGGAAGATGTACAAAAAGATACAGTAGAACTTCGACATTAAGGGCATCCTTCTGACTGCATCCAACTGCCTCTACAGCAAGGTGCCCTTAATATCAAAATTAAGCCACGCAAAGCTGGATTCCATATTGACCATACTAAATTTCTGAATTTGAACCTCCCCCCCCCCATTTTGTTTGGTATATGTAGGATGCGAGTTGTACGTTGTTTTGACGTGAAACATTGTAAAATAGAGATCTCGGA